TATAGCATACATAATACGAAGTTATCCGAGCCCGCGGCCTCCACGCCCTCGTCCACCCCCGCCGCCACGATGGCGCGGCAGGTGGCGGGCAGGGGCGGCGCGGTGCGCTCCGCGGCCTCCGCCTCGTGCAGCCACCACTCGCGGTCCAGCACCACGCCGTTGGCCTGCAGCGACTTCAGGCCGCGCGGGATGATCTTGGCGGGGGCCTCGGCCTGGCCCGCGCTCTCCTCCAGCTTGGCCGCCGTGATCCAGACCTCGGCCGAGGTGGGAATGGCCTGGCGCGCGCGGTTCAGCACCTTTTGCGCATTCTTGTAGCTCTCCAGTCGCGCCAGCGCCAACCAAAGCTCCACGTGCTGCGGGCAGCACTCCACCGCGCGCGACTGGGAGGCAGGGGGGTGGGAGGGTGGGGGGGAGGGAGAGGGTTATGAGAGCGCGGGGGCGGATGGGTGCGGGGTGCAGGGCAGATATTTGTTGTGGTGGGGGAGGGGGGCCCCCGATGGTAGCAACTACATGTCGGGTCTCAACGCCGCAACACATGCCGGGAAGCAGACTCGCTCCCCCTTGCGCCATGCCCCGAGGCGCATACACCCCTGCACTCCCTTCAACCTCACCCGCTCCCAGAACCCCTCTGATACGGACCCCCCCAAGACCCAGGCCACCAGCCCACCAGAAGAATCCGCGCGTCGTCTTCGTCAGAGATCTCGACCACGGCCTTCCAGAGGCGGACCGACTGCGGGATGCGCTCCAGGGCACGCAGCAGCACGCGCTTGCGTGCCTCGTCGCTGGTCTCAAGCTTGGCCGCCGCCATCCACAACGTGACTGCATGGTATTTGGGGGGGAGGGAGAGCGTGTGGGTGTTGGAGGAGGTTGCGCAGCTGCAGGTGGAGACACCCCAGGATGAGGGAGTAAGCCGCACTGCCTGAATCCCAGAGTGTATTCTTGGGCGCACGTCCTCTTTGCCTGGCCAACTCTCCTGTGGACATTGTGAGACTACGCCTCCCCCATCTCTGGGCTCTTTCGACCCCCTGCTCCTCCTCTGACGCCTCCGCAGTATCCAAACATACCTGCTTCAGGCAGCGCGGCGACGCCGCGCGCCAGGATGGCCTTCGCGTTCTCCGGCTCCTGCAGGCGCGCGGCCTCCAGCCAGACGTCGACGTACCCCGGCGCGAGCTCGCAGCCTTTCAGAGCCAGCTCGCGCGCGGCGGGGAGCTTGCCCGCCACCTCCTCCAGCCGCGCGGCGGCGACCCAGCCCGGCCCGTGGGCGGGGTTGGTCTTGATGACCGACTTGAGGAGCAGGCGCGCCTTCTTGATGTCCGAGATCTCCGCGTCCGACTTGAGCGTCACCGACTTGAGGTCGGTGAGGTAGCCACGCGGGTCAACCACCGTCTGCCCCGTGACCGAGTCCGACAGGCGGTCCAGTTTGAGCTGGACCACGGTGCTCCTCCCCGCGCCGATGGCGGTCAGGCTGGTGGCGGCGCCGGGGGTCTCCGTGCCGGGCCCCACGCCGCCGGGGTCCAGGCTGGTCAGCCCGGGGGCGTCGCCCGCGGTGGCCGCCGCGCGCGCCAGCAGCGAGTCGGGGACGGGGGTGAAGATCTCGGCGCGCCGCGCGCGCTTGACCGTCGTGTCCCCAATCTCGGGGATGGCCTCCCAGGCCGAGGCGTCCAGCTCCGCCAGCCCGCGCTTCAGGTCCGTGAACAGGTCGCCGATGCGTGGGTTGGCGGCGCGGAAGCGCTCCAGCTCCTCCTTCATCCGCGCGTCGCGGTGCTCCTGCGCATCAGAGGGGGAGGAAGGCGCGGGCTGACGGGCCTCGAGGAGGGTAACGGCGCGGGGGAGGCACCAGTGGGGTGGCACCGGGGGGCGAGCCCTGAATCAATCCCCTCCCCTCCCGTCCCTCCCCCTCGCCCTCACCCTGCGCCGCTCGTCCATGCGGTCCTCGACCTGGTCCCACACGGCATCGGCCTCCCGGTCCTCGTCGTCGTAGGCCCCCGTCCCGGCCAGCACGCCCCCATCGTTGCCCAGGAACTCATCAAACTTGGAGTCGTCGTCCCCGCCCTGCAGCCAGGAGCATGGATGCACTGTTGATTGAGCGTGAGGAAACCTCCGCAGCGCATGCATTCCGATGGAGTGTATGTAACACATGATGTTGACCACCTCGCTGCATGCCTGCACCTCCGCGCACAAACATGCATGCCTGTGAGGCCATGTCGGGGGCAGGCATGGACGGCCCGATATCTGAGCGGGTCGTGAAGCCCGCAGCTCCACGCCCCAGTCCCGGCACATAGTTGGCTGGTGCCCTGAGGGCATTGAAGTCGATCTTGGCCCCAGGGGCCTGGGGAGGCCGGGAAGAGGCAGGCCGTATGGACATCGTGCTCCCCGCCTAGACTCCCATCACAGCCGTAGCCCAGGCATCCAGCCCCCTTGGCGTGTGTTGATTGAACGAGTCGATAACAAATGGAAACAAGGAACTGAGGTGAGGATGGCTTTGGCTTTGGCTGTAGGCAGGTGTGATGGGTGCGCGCCCTGGAACCACGTGGGAGTTTTTCGAGTTCCCGGCTCGACAGGCGACAAACATATTGCACATGCACGACGCCGGGTCACCAGACTCCATTTTTGGGGGGTGTGAAAAAATTCGACGCTCAACTGTTTCAGCACATGATAGCGTCCTCAGTGGGTTGCACCGGCAACATGTTCACACCGCCAAGCCAATAACCAGCTCGATCTGCATCGATCATGCGACCTGTACTCCTCCTCGTGATGCTCACGGCGGCCCAGGCCGTGATCTGCCGTGCCTCCCTCGAAACGAACCCATCCGACGAGCAGTGTGCCGCCTGGATCGCAGCATACCGAGCCGATCATCCTGTGCTGGACAAGCAGGCCCTGAACGGCACTCGGCCCAGCCAGGTGTACTTCATGCACATCCCTCGCACCGGCGGCAAGACGTGTTTCTCCTGCTTCCTCAAGTCAGCTGTGCCACCCTCCCAGCGCTGCCTCAAGGCGTATGACGGGCCTCGCCTTGCCCTCAGCAGCCCCAGCTGCGGCCTCATCTCCAGCCACGATGACTACAGCCTGGTGGATGTGAGCGTGCTCGGCTGGTGTTTGGTCGGACATCGCATCCTGAGAGCCCCAGACCCTCCCACGCACAGTAGCCCACCCCTTCCATGCCTGAGACACAGCCATGCCCACCAGCCTTGTAACCCCCTCCCCTCCGCCCCCCCCCTGGCACAGAGTCTCCAGCCTGGGGTGGCGGTGGTCACTCAGCTCAGGGACCCCACCTCCCGCGTGATCAGCGCCTACGAATTTGCCGTGAGCGTGGCGGCAGAGAGCCTGGGGGCCGGGGGGGAGGGCCCGAGCCTCCAGGCGCCTGAGCACCTCAACTATGTGAACACGATGGAGGTCTGGCCCTGGTCCATCCTCATCCCCTGGTTCAGGCGCAACATGCAAGCCCGCGTGAGTGTCAGGGCGTCTTGGAATGAGGTGCTGCCTTGCTGTGGGCCCCTTGCTGAGAGTCGGGAAATTGTGCTGAATCTTCATGCTGCCCTGCTGGTATCAGAGTTGGGTACACCACTGGGAGTGTCTACAGGTACACAGGGCTGCCGCGCCATGCCACTGACCCCCTCCACATCCCCACTGCCCCAGCTGGAGGGGCTCAGGAAGGAGGCGACCAGAGATGGCACCACCACATGGCTGAAGTTCAAGACCAGGAAGGGGCAGGTGTACTGGTGGAACAGGTCCACCAACGCGACCTCCCTCACCGTGGGTAGCAGGCTGGGTGGGTTGCATGGGTGCACTGTTCCACATGGCCACTTGAGCTTCCCACTGTCAGACCCCCCCTTCCGCCGGGCCACTTGCTTGTAGATTTAAAAGAGAGCTGAGATGCATGCCCACACCACCTCCCTCTCCTCAGCTCAGGGCCTCCCTGTTCGCCCCCCCGCCACAGGCCCCCACCCCCATGGCGACGCTGGAGCCATACAGTAACCCATTAGTCATGCCGTTGGCGGAGTGGATAGAGCACCCCATCGCGCGGGAGCTGGTGCACGAGGGCGCTACCCTGCAGCTGCTGGGCATCAGCAACGTCTCGCGCTGGGGTGGCGAGGCCACCCGCCTCCGCCGCTGCTTCCACGCCCATGCGCCGGCGCGTGCTGAGCTGGCGGCGCTGGCGGCCCGCCGCCTGGACGGCCTGGCTGGGGCGGGCACCCTGGAGCAGCTGCATGCCTCCGTGGAGGCGCATGCGGACGCGCTGGGTGAGCGTCCGGAAGCTTGGGAGGGTTTCGCTCCGGCCGTCGCCTGGTGGAACTCGAGCGCCAGGGAGGGTGTTGACCGCGTCGGGCCGACATCCACACCTCACAACCCACCACGTTCATCCCCCCTTCACCACCCAGGCATCTCACTGGAGGGGCCCGCGTACCGCAACCCGGACGAGTGGACATGGTCTTTTGACCCTGTTGAGGGGGCCGACTTGGACGCCCGCCTGACCGTGCGGTTCCCGGCGCGGGCGGGGGTCTCAGCGCCCAGCGCCCCCAGCACCATGACGCTGAGGGAAGCGAGGCGGCACCTCATGTCCCTGCACGAAAGCCTCATCGCAGCACGGGAGGCCCAGGCGGTAGGGACGAACCTGGGATCACATGAGCGTGGTTGTGGTGGGCAGGAGGGCCTAGGTGGCATGTCGTTCCACTGCACTGGTCGTGCCTGTGCAGGCGTCGGTGTGCATGAGCAAGGGCTGCACCAATCGGCGCGCCACTCGGGTGCTGATCCTGGCGTTGGAGGGCGCTCCCACTGATTCCAGAAGCTCAAAACCGCTTTCCAAGGCCATCGCCAGTAGGCTGGCAGCCGGATGCGTTGTCTTTCAAACTGATCCTTCTCTCCCGCTCCTTAACCACCAGCTCCTCCAGCCGCGCCTGGCCTACATCCTGAAGGCGGAGGAGGAGTGGCTGGGGGTCGCGCCCGGCCGGACCCTGGCGGCCAGTCCCCTCGGGCAAGAAATCGCGGCGCTGGACGCCGTGCTGGCCAAGAAGCAGGAGGAGGTCGAGCGTCTGACGGCCAGGCTGGAGGCGCTCAGGGCGGCCGGGGTTATCGCGAGCCTGGCCGAGGCGCAGGGGCCCAGCGTGCAGGTTGTGCCGGACCGGCACTTCCTCTTGCCGGAGCCCCTTGGCCCTGCCTTTGTGCGATGTGCCAGGGTGAGCGTGGGGAGGGGTGCTTGATGCTGTACAGAGGTTATGGGGTGTGAGATGCAGGGGTCCGTGCCATGGTGTGCTGGAGTTGAGGCTTGTGTGCTTCGATAGGTTGAGAAACGGTGCGACACCAGGAGGGCTGGGCGGCGGCCGGCACATGATTGACACCTGCGCATTGTTGGAACGATGCGCCTCTCAGGAGCCATGGCCGTGCGCAGCGTGGCCTCCTCCTCAGCGTGGCCGCCTCCTCAGCGTGGCCTCCTCCTCTACATCCCACCCCCACCCAAGCACTACCACAATGCAGCGCCAGCGAGAGACGGCGAAAGGGCAGGGCGGAGGATCCCTCTCCCCACGCCAGCGACACGCCCAGCGGCGCAGGAGCGACGGCACGGGCTTCCCAGGTCTGTTCACGCCGGCCACCCAGGCATCTCACTGGAGGGGCCCGCGTACCGCAACCCGGACGAGTGGACATGGTCTTTTGACCCTGTTGAGGGGGCCGACTTGGACGCCCGACTGACCGTGCGGTTCCCGGCGCGGGCGGGGGTCTCAGCGCCCAGCGCCCCCAGCACCATGACGCTGAGGGAAGCGAGGCGGCACCTCATGTCCCTGCACGAAAGCCTCATCGCAGCACGGGAGGCCCAGGCGGTAGGGACGAACCTGGGATCACATGAGCGTGGTTGTGGTGGGCAGGAGGGCCTAGGTGGCATGTCGTTCCACTGCACTGGTCGTGCCTGTGCAGGCGTCGGTGTGCATGAGCAAGGGCTGCACCAATCGGCGCGCCACTCGGGTGCTGATCCTGGCGTTGGAGGGCGCTCCCACTGATTCCAGAAGCTCAAAACCGCTTTTCCAAGGCCATCGCCAGTAGGCTGGCAGCCGGATGCGTTGTCTTTCAAACTGATCCTTCTCTCCCGCTCCTTAACCACCAGCTCCTCCAGCCGCGCCTGGCCTACATCCTGAAGGCGGAGGAGGAGTGGCTGGGGGTCGCGCCCGGCCGGACCCTGGCGGCCAGTCCCCTCGGGCAAGAAATCGCGGCGCTGGACGCCGTGCTGGCCAAGAAGCAGGAGGAGGTCGAGCGTCTGACGGCCAGGCTGGAGGCGCTCAGGGCGGCCGGGGTCATCGCGAGCCTGGCCGAGGCGCAGGGGCCCAGCGTGCAGGTTGTGCCGGACCGGCACTTCCTCTTGCCGGAGCCCCTTGGCCCTGCCTTTGTGCGATGTGCCAGGGTGAGCGTGGGGAGGGGTGCTTGATGCTGTACAGAGGTTATGGGGTGTGGGATGCAGGGGTCCGTGCCATGGTGTGCTGGAGTTGAGGCTTGTGTGCTTCGATAGGTTGAGAAACGGTGCGACACCAGGAGGGCTGGGCGGCGGCCGGCACATGATTGACACCTGCGCATTGTTGGAACGATGCGCCTCTCAGGAGCCATGGCCGTGCGCAGCGTGGCCTCCTCCTCAGCGTGGCCTCCTCCTCAGCGTGGCCGCCTCCTCAGCGTGGCCTCCTCCTCTACATCCCACCCCCACCCAAGCACTACCACAATGCAGCGCCAGCGAGAGACGGCGAAAGGGCAGGGCGGAGGATCCCTCTCCCCACGCCAGCGACACGCCCAGCGGCGCAGGAGCGACGGCACGGGCTTCCCAGGTCTGTTCACGCCGGCGGGGCACGAATCTTTTGCCTTGGGCGGCGCTGCCCGCAAGCGCCTGGACCCGGCGCTGCTGGAGCGCATCGCAACCCTGAACCCAGGAGACCAGCTGCTTTGGAGCGTGGCACGGGACCGGCTGCTTGCCCGTGGCGCCGGGCAGAGGCTGCCTGATGAGGTGGCACAGGAGGCTTTGCTGGAGACGGGGCCGGTGCGCAGCAGGAGGCAGCTTGCGAGTGACCCGGGGGCTGGCAGGGGCGCTGCTGAGCATCACCATGATGAACTTTAGATTGAGTTTGGGTGATGGCCGTGAAGGTGCGGGACCTGCGCTGGCAACATCTATTACGTGTTCGATACTCGAAAACGCAAAAACAAAAAGAGACGACAGCCGCCCGAAGTGGGGCTCGAACCCACGACCACAAGGTTAAGAGCCTTGCGCTCTACCGACTGAGCTATCCGGGCAGGGAGATTCCCCGGTGGCAGCTGCTACCTTGATGCCATGCGAATAAGCAGACCATATGATAGCCAGGGTGTCACTGCCAGATTGCTCCTGGAGCATAGAGACACCCAGTCGGAACACCCCGCAGCTTTATGATATCATTCTTATTGGGGGTGAAATAAGAGTATGGCAATAGTTTTGTTTGGTCTGCCAGGTGTAAGGAGCACGACCTGCAGATTGTAGGCAACCTACAACCAAGGGATAATCCTGTGCCCAAATTCCAAGCTTGCATGGCACGAACTCTCACACATGCAGCTTTGTCCAGACCCACCCAAGGCCGTGCAGATGATGGGCCTCATGAGGTGGAGACTCATTTTGCAGTGCCTCAGCAGTATGGAGAATCTTGCCCTGGGTGGAGCTTGTCGCCATGGCAAGAGCCTCACACCGGGGATAACGGTCCATCAAGCCGCATGCCCACTGCTGGTGGGGAGTTACTGCAAGTTAACATATCGAAATCGTGCTGTGTGGGTCGCATCTGGAAGTTCAGGGGTTCCTGTATGATATAAGGTCCCCAGCCCGTGCAACGATCCTTCCAACCGCAGTGAGCATGGCCCTTGGCAGGTTTTGCAAATGAAAGTTGATCTAATGACCGAATGCCGAACATGGAAGAAATTTGGCCCTACCACGTGATGCTCACCTTCACCTTGCAAATGGACCCATGTGTTCCTACTTTGGGAATGAATACTGTCGATCAGGGAGTGGGGTACTGCCTCGCCTTGCGACACGGAGATAAACGGGGCGAGGGCGCCGTTCTACGGACGATGTCTCTCATCATGCCTCCTCAGTGAGTGCATCGGCGTCATCCGCCGCACTTTACCTCCACAGGGCCGTCGGCCGAGCTGTTCCCCCCTTGGCCCTCGTGCCACCCGAGTATGGACGGAACCGTGAGCCTGTCCACCTCCCTGCTGCCCCTCCCCCTGGCGAGGGGCTTCGATTTGGACCTGGAGGCTGAGGGCACCAGGGTGCTCCCAGGGCATGTCGCGGTGGGCCCCAGCGCTCAGGGACCCTCCGGGCAGTCCGACACCGCCCTCGAGCACTCGCGGCGGGGCGGGGCGGGGCAGGGCACGTACGCCCACAACCACACCCATCACGATGCCCGTCCCCGGGATCGGGAGCGCCAGCATGGCGGACAGGGCCCCAGAGACAGGCCCGGGTTCCCCCCTGCCTCGCAAGCCGGGTACGGCCAGCAGCAGGCCCCCCAGCGGGCCCCCGCCCCCTGGGGCTCTGGGGAGGACACCGGGCCCTCCGACTACGCCCCCATGCCTCCTCCGGGCTACATGCCGGCCTCCCGTCCGGGCGCCTACCCCATGTCCCTGCAGCAGCAGCAGCAGCAGGCCGCCTACGCCTCGCAGCAGTACCAGCAGGCGGCGGCGTACCAGCAGGCGGGGCAGCAGATGAAGCAGTACGAGATGCAGTACACGCCCGACTGGGTCAACCCCTATCAACAGTACCCCTACTCCTTCAGCGGGCAGTTTGCAGGGTACATGCCCTACCCCGTCATGCCACCTGGTGAGCTGGGCTTGCGGGGTGCGCGCGGCGGGGTGAGATCCTGACGCCGGCCCCTGCCTCCAGGCACGGGCGCGGGGCGCCAGGCACGGGCGCGGGGCGCCAGGCATGCGCCGCGGGGCGGCGCGGGGCGCCGCAGGGATGAGCAGGACTGTGCTGCCACGCCCCTCCAGCCGCCCCATGCCAGTGCGCCATCAGTACTGCCTCCGAGCGCGCCGTCAACCAGTCCCTCGAACCCCGCCGACTCCACAGGCAGCGACCCGGTGCAGGAGGGACCGCCGCCCGAGTCCATGGCCCCGCCGTCGGCGCAGGCGCCCCAGACGGGAGCGGCAGACCCGCCAAGCGCCGACGAGGCGGAGGAGGAGGAGGAGGCGCGTGCGGTGAAGAGGCCGCGGTGAGAAGCTTATTTGATTGGCTGGGGGAAGGGGGACTGGTGGTATAAGGGGTGGGGCCGTCCAGTGTCTCCAGGCAGGGGCGAGCCGCTCATTCAAGGCTGGCGCTGGCAGGGCTCCGTGCATGGCCCCCCAAATGCCGCCCTTTCTTCCCCCCGTGCAGCCTGATTTGGACGGACGCGCTGCACCGCCGCTTCCTCGAGGCCCTGGAGACCATCGGCGGGGTGGACAAGGCTCCCCCCAAGGCCATCATGAAGGTGAGGTGCTGCATGCTGCTCTGGGCGCTGCCTGCAGGGCTTGGAGGGCTGCGCGGGGGCATTTCTTGCGGCCCAGACCTGGCCGCTGTGGGTCTGTGCTGTGCCGTCGCCATCCTGGCACCCATCACCAACACTTTGCCCATCGGGCAACGCAGGAGATGGGCGTGACGGGGCTGACGCGGGAGAATGTGGCCAGCCATCTCCAGGTAGCTTTTGTCCCGGGGGGGGGGGGGATGAGGAAGCAGGGCGTCACCACTCGGCGGCGCTGCAGAAGACAAAGCTACGGAGGTGTTGAGGTGCATGCACTGGGCGGGGTCGCCGGGGCCAGCCCTGCCGAGCCCTGCCCTGCCCCATCCAACCCCCGACTGCATCGCTGCACCCTGCCCGCCCCTCCACAGAAGTACCGAATGCGCCTGAAACGCGGCGAGGAGGTGGAAGGCCAGGGCATGAACTCGCCCCTGCAGGGGTCCTGGTACGAGTGCGCACTGACCCCGCAAGCTCCCTCGGAGGCGGCCGACGCGGCGCAGGGGCCGGGAGAGCCCTGATAATAAGCCTGGTGGGTGTGAGGGTGGGGTTGTTGTCGCGATTGGGCCAGCTGTGGACATGGCTCTGGGATCCAGGTCGGGCCGGGAATGCTGCTGTGGGTTGAGGTGCTGCTGATGACTCCAGGACCAAGACTTGCCTCCCTCCTGTCAGCCATGAGATGTGGAAAGGGCCTGCTCGATGGGTGGGAAGTGACGGCCTCCATGACACTGCGTCCATCACCGCTTCCTCGCCCCCGATCGCTACCCCTTTCAGACCCAGCGTCGGCCGCCCTGCGGCATTCCCCACCACCCCCAGGGCTCCCATTGCTGCTGAAAGGCGGCTTGCCGGGCATGCGGCCTGGAGTGGCTGGCACCCCTCCCATGTCCTCCAGTTCCCCCCCAGGCCTGTACTTCCACCCAACCCCCTTGCTACTAGTACCATCATGGCCCTTGGTACCCCCTTCTGCACGAGCTCGGCTGGGATCTCAGGATGGAACGCCACTCCCACCCTCCTTTCTGGAATCGCACAGCCAGGCACTTTGAACCCCCTTCGCCCCGACACCTCTCTTGGCCGTACCCTTCAAATCAGAGATTCCCTGCCTCGATCGCCCAAGTGCCCCATGAACGCCGGGTGTTGTCTTGACGCCGTATACCTTTTCTAAATCACCCTCCATATGCCTGCGTTGCCCTTGTCCAACCTGCCAGAATTTTAAAAGATGGGGCGGTCTCGGCGGGACGCAAAGGATGCGCACAAGGCTGTACAGGGGGCTGCGGCCGGCGGGCCGTCAGTTGGCCTCGCCAAAGAGCACGGTCCGGATGCTGGGCAGGTTCTGGGAGTACACTATCTCCAACCGCTCGTCCAGGGTGTTGGAGCAGACGATGCTCGAGTCCGCGGTGGTCACCACGACACCCCCGGAGCTGCAGGGAGGGGAGGTGTGAGGCGGGGTGAAGCGGGCGGCGGGAGCAGGGCCCAGCACGGCTTGGGTGGCTGCACAGGCAGCAGGACGGCGCAGGAAACCGAGAAAATCCATCCCCCACTCACCAGCTGTCGCCCTCGTTGTCCTTGGTGCCGTCGGGCGGGGGGGCCAGGTAGTGCTTGGTATCGATGCTGACGTCCGGCTTGGGTACGCCAACCTTCTCCGCATACCTCTCCGCCGCGCTCTCCAGCACCTCCTTGACCAGCGACTCATCCACCTGCCGCACACGCACCAGCAGCTCCGGCTCGCGTAGCTTCTCGAAGCCCTGCAGGCGCGGTGCCGGTGAGGTTGTGCTGGCGAGGTGCGGCGTGAACGCAGGCCGCACCAGTTCTCCGCAGGGAGGGGGAGCCTCCGGCATCCATCGCACATGCGTCCCTGGAGCCCTTGGCTTCCGGCATGTCGGTACTGCACAAGGTACCCACCTGGATGAGGAGCTCTGTGAGCAGCGCCTTGTACTTGGCCTTGTCCTTTGCCAGCTTGGCGAGCCGGGAGTGCGCCTCGGTCAGCAAGGTCTGTTAGTGATGGGGAAAGGACGGAGGGAGTGAACCCTTGTCAATGACACCTTGTATCGGCCCATGCTGAGACACGGATGCGACAAGAGACATGCCAGGCGCCTGGGGCCGAGGGAGCGGGCTGTACTGCCCACCCATACCTGTACTGCATCCTCGCGAGCCTGGAGCACCTTCAACCGTGACTCATTCAGCTGCTTGCTGCGCTCCACCTGCGGTCCGGGGATGCATGAATGTATGAGGCACGTGCCTCAAGATGTCAACCATGTTCTCCAGGGCGACCAACCGTACTAGGGCAAACAATGCCCTTTTCATCTCGACTGCTCCCCTCCCTCCACCCCCAAGGGTACCTTCTTCTTGACCTCAATGGCGCCTTCCCTCCTCTCAAACTCGCTCTTGATGCGCTGCTTCTCCGCCTCCACGAACTGGAGCTTGCTGATGTTGAACTGTGCAGGGGTTGGGGAGGAGCTGGGGCGTTATTGGGGCTCAGGACAGAGTGTCAGGGGGTGGTCCTCCCCCTTGGCTTCCCCCCTACGCTTGCACAAATCGTGACCCTAAGCTGGGCCTGTTCTGAATCCAGGGGACGACACCCACCTCCTCCTCTGTGGCCACGGCAATCTCGCTGGCCTTCTCCTCCGCCTCCTGCCGGATGAAGCGGACCATTTGCTCGATCGTCTTCGTGACCTGGGGGAGTGGGCGGAGGGGAGCGCCAGGGAGCACATGAGAAGATTTGGAGTCCGACATAGAGTATTATCGCTGAGGGAGGTCGGAGAGGCTCGACGCACACACGCTGGCCCCGGAAACCCACCTCCGTGTCGTTCATGGCGACCCTTCCCTTGCTGGCGCAGTCACGATCCCCAACCCTCCTTCCCTGGGAGTGTTTTCAATTTATTATTATTCGTATACAGAAGATATTTGTCAGATTCGGTCTCATGGCAGCAGGTGCGCCATCGTGCTCAGGGCGCTTGCGTAACCCCTAACCGGATCTTTGACCCTCCACGCTCCCTGGGCACACCGGCCCCCCCCCTGCTCCTGGAAGCACCATACAACAAGGAATGAACAACATCAGGCCTCTGGTACGGGAACTGAGGTTCAGCGTTTGCTCGCATTCCTGTTGCCCTCCACAGCCTCTACCGCAAGGCCCTGGGCCTTGAGCATGCCTGCCAGCATGGCCTGCTCCGCCTCCGGCGCCTCGCGCTGGTACAGCTGAGTCAGCGCCCGCGCGGCGACCTGCCCCAGCTCTGCCTCCTCGCCCCCTTTTCCCGCTTTCCTGTCGGCGCCCAGCTGCGCAGCCACATACGTGAGCCCGTACAAGGCCCTCGCGCTGCGGCCGCCGCTCAGCTCCACCACGGCTGCGAGAGGGAGGAGGAGGGGGACATCGGGGTGATGCGGGAGTGCTCATTCCCCTGCACGTGTAGGGCGTGCCGGGGGAAACGCAACTTAAAGGGGCCATGCCCGGGGATGCACCCTGGCCAGTCCAAGCGGTCACCAACTGATACACGCAGAGGCCTCGCCCCCTGCAGACTCCCCCTTCCCCCACCCACCAGAGTAGTGGGTCCGGGCGGTGAGGAGGTTGGGAGTGCCGCCCAGCGTGCACAGCGTGTCTGCCAGCAGCAGGTGGGTCCCCAGCGCGATGGGCTGGTGCAGCAGCACCTCCTCCAGGCAGAACACCGCTTGCTGGTACAGCTGGGCCTGGGGAGGGGAAGAAAGGAAGCACAGGGGTTGAGACACATTAGGCGGAGCAGGTCAGGGGTCACACACGGGGCCATGCAGGGAGCTTTGTCGCCTGGGCAAAGGAGCGGCCACGTGAGACAGATGCTGCCACCGCCTCTCAGGCCGCACCTGGATGTAGAGCTCGGCGGCCTCCTCCCATGCCCCCCAGTCCAGCTGGTTGGAGGCGAGGTAGGTGTGCAGCGCCGCGAGTGCGGCAGGGATGTTGCCCTGGCCCTTGTGCATGGCGACCTGGAGATGGAAGCATGGGTTATTTTTGGGTGGTCAGAGGGTTGCTTAGAACTTGGAAAAACAGTAGGCGGGGATGGGGCAGCGTGGCCTCTGGTGGTGTCCATGCTTCACCCAGGGCCACCCAGGGATGCGATGGAGCAGACAAGGGCGATGCACTGCGCAACATGTCCCTTCTACATGGATCTCGTTGTGATCGGGTTGCTGGTCCCACCCATACCCACCGAGCGCTTGAGGATGAGCGCGTTCTGGGGGTCCAGCTCCAGCTCCTTGGCGTAGAGCTGCGTGGCCTCGGAGGTGCGCCCGGCGCTCTCGCCCAGCATACCCTGTCAGCGAAATTGGGGAAAAGGTAGGAATAGCGTTGTGGGTGGCAGGCAAATGGAACCAGCAGGGAGACCTGCTTGAGACCACACCATCCACAGCAGGAGAAGGAGGCAGGGAAACAAAATGTGCTCCTCAACAGGAAATTCCAGACGCTCCCTCCGTACGCACCGCCAGCCGGCTGCCGCGAGCACCCTTGGGGAATCGGGCCAACACGTTCTGGGAGATGCTGAGTGCCAGCGGCTCATTGTGCGAGTCCATTGCCGCTTGTGCCGTCTGCTCGTGGATGAGCCACACTGCATAGAGGGAGTCGGTAGGAGGGTTAGCAGCCCATGACAACGCTGCAGCTGGGGCACATATAGGATCCAACCTCGCCCACCTGACACGCCCCCACTCACGCTCAGTCTGATTCAGCTTCCTGGCGTACTTTCGGAGGATGGTGCTTCCATAGCGTGCCACTGCTTCGGAGTCGTGACTTCTCAGCTCTCTGGCCTGTTGTTAGGGCCAGAGGGAGGCAATATCAGTGGACGCAGCACGGCCCGAGGGGGTGCTTCAAGCCGAGGGGTGCCTCCACGCCCCACTCGGGGCTCCACTCCCTCTTCATAGCCATGCACACCACGACCTCAATGCAACCGAATGGTGAATAGTCACCTGGCGGAGGTATTGGAGCATGTCCAATAGCGATACGGACTCCACAGAGTCCAGGGAGGCGGAAGCCCCAGCCATCGCGCCTCTCCCAACACGGGGAGGTCGGCGACCCAGTCAGAGTCAACTCAGGAAAAGATCAGAGTTTGGGCTCTTGGTACTATTCTAAGTATGCTTCCCCTGCGGTGCTGATCTGGTGATCAACACTTCAGACCTGGCATATGGTCGTGGATCTCGCCGGCCCCTTGGATGCCTTTGAGAGAGGATGGGCAGGAGTGCATGGACCATCTTGGATTTAGAAAACCCCGGGCATCGGGAGTCAATCATACTGAACTCAGATTGAAGGATGATAGACCTACATAATGCACTGAACGCATGCAAGTGGAGACTACGCGCATTTTCAAGTATACGTCCTGACTTGTCGCGACCCGAGCTGCACATGAGCTTGGGGTGGCCTCTATAAGGCAGATGGATCCTTCCACAGGACAACACGACAACGGTTCTCTTCTGAAGCTTTGTCGTCAGCAAGTTGCCCAACAAGGATGCATTTCCCCTGGTCTCAGCACCTTAGGACAGCTGTCACCAAAGAGCTATACTGCTCGCAGAATTAACCTGCCGTCGGTGCTGGCATAGACGTGCGCGCGGCTTTAACTGGTTTCTTGTGGATGAAAGTGACGGATGACATGCTTCTTGATGGCGTTCTCACAGTCATATACGGAATGTTCATGCATACATGAAGGAGAAACAACCAACTGCAGTTGTGGGCTCAATTGTAGACAGTACCCCGATACAGAAACTCAAAAGCGGTGACATTGTGCTCGATGAACACTTTGTTATCAAGTGTGTTCTCCAATCAAGCCTCAAGAGCGCATTTAGTGAGTATGTAGATGGGCTCGACGCGCATGCTATGCATGCTGCGCTCCCCATCGCCAGGTCGAGCACCGACACCTCTTTGGAACGCCTGAGCATTCTCGGGAGCCGCATGATTGCCCTGCATATACCATTTGAATGCTAGTTTGCACTGATCCATCCAAACGGGCCTGCTGACGGCAGTACGACCTTGCAAGTTGTGGGGCCTGCCTTCGCAGAGTGCCGAAGGGCTGCATTCCGTCCTATATCTCGCACAAGGACCTGAAAAGCCACTTGATCATGGCTCCAAGGAGCAAGAATCAGGCGAGTAAGCTGCCAGAGGATTCCATACAAAAGGTACGGCCTCGTCGCAGACGACTTTGGTGGGGTGCCCCGGTCACATGCTCGCCGGAAATACCACTCATGCAGCCTTGCACAGTCGCCCGCACTGGATCCAGACACATCTAACGGCCCTTCTTCACAGGTATCGACGAGGTCGCAGGCTCCCCAGAAGCGGCGCACCCCCGCAGGCCTCTCCGGCCCGGCCACCGGCAGCCAGGCCCGGGAGCAGGTGGACACCGCTCCCGGCTCGCCCACGCAGGGGGGCCGCAAGCGGCGCAAGGAGCGGCTGGCCGCCTCAGCCCCCGGCTCCACCTCCGCCGCCGCGCTGAGCGAGCTGGACTGTGGCGGCGGCGGCGAGGGCGCGCCCCCCGCCCTGCAGGCCTACGCCGCGGAGGACGACGGCGGCGCCTCGCCGCGCGAGGCGGAGATGGAGGCCGTGGTCAAGGTCTTTGCCGTGCACAGCGAGCCCAACTTCTCGCTTCCCTGGCAACGCAAGCGCCAATTCTCCTCCTCCGGATCGGGGTTTGTGGTGGCAGGGCGCCGCATCCTGACCAATGCCCACTGCGTGGACCACCACACCCAGGTCAAGGTCAAGCGGCGCGGGTCGGACGCCAAGTATGTGGCCTCCGTGCTGGCGGTGGGCCAGGAGTGCGACATCGCCATGCTCACCGTGGCGGACGAGGACTTCTGGGCGGGGCTGGAGGCGGTGCGCTTCGGCGCACTGCCCCGCCTCCAGGACTCCATCACCGTGATCGGGTACCCCATTGGCGGCGACACCATGTCCGTCACCTCGGGTGTGGTCAGCAGGATAGAGGTCACCTCCTACGTCCATGGGGCGGCTGAGTTGCTGGGCGTGCAGGCAGGCTGAGAGGATGGAGGGTGGGGGGGTCAGGAACTGTGGGTGGGGGTGGTAAAGGATTGTGGGGAGGGGGCGGGGGTAGGATTGTGGGGAGGGGTTAGGAATGTGGGAAGGGATGAGAATAGGGGAAGTGATTGGAATAGGGGAAGTGGTTGGAATAGGGGAAAGGGGGGGTCAGGGACTTTAAGGGTGCGGGATGCATGCTGCTATGGGGAAAGGGCGTGCTTTTTGCATATCTTCTGCTGCAGGGAGCGGCGTGCAAACTATCAGTTTTCAAAGCCTCGTTTTGAGCAAGTCATCACAGACCCATCCATGCTCCATGCCGCAGGTGGATGCGGCGATCAACAGCGGGAACAGCGGTGGCCCCGCCTTCAGCGATAGAGGTGGGATGTCAGGGGAAAAGGAGGCCATGTTGGAGGATTCAGGCAGGATAAAGCTGTTGTCATGGGACAACGGCGGCCGACACACAGAGGGATGCTTCCCAATGCCTGTGAGCCCCTGGTGTGCCTCTGGGCCGCGCCCAGCAGTTCGCCTCCCTCAGACCATCAATTCTACCATCCCCCACCTGCACCTGCAGGGGAGTGCGTCGGCATAGCCTTCCAGTCCCTCAAACATGAGGACGCGGAGAACATCTCGTACATCATCCCCACGCCGGGTGTGGACTCTTGGGAGGGGGGGCCTGGCCATGCTTGATGTCCAAGGGTGCCAGCTGAGAGCTCCCCTGCAGTTGACCTGTCGTTATGGAGGGTTTGATGTCTTGGTAGCGTCAGCCTGCACGTCAAGCTGCCGAGGATGGCCTGCACATTCCCTCCCGCCTGCCCAGTCATCGAGCACTTCATCAACGACTACGAGCGGAATCAGGCCTACACAGGCTTCCCCTCCCTGGGGGTGGAGTGGCAGAAGATGGAGAGCCCGGTGCTACGCAAGGCGCTCGGCATGCAGGTCTGGCCGTGGGGGGGGCAGGGAGGAGATACCCAGGGTTTGTGGGAGGGTTTGATGACGCAGCGGTGGGGGAAGAGACAGCAAATGGGGCCAGGTGCGGTCTCACAAGTGGTGTGGTATGTATTGGGCTCGCTGGCCCCCCACCCCCCCACCCCCCCCCCACCTACATCTCGTCTGGTCGAGGTCTGTCCGGAGAGCCCCAGCGCTCACGATGCGCCTGCTGACAGCAGCAATTCGCCTCACCCCCCAACCCTCACCACGCCTGCAGCCCTCGCAACGCGGCGTCATGGTGCGCCGGATAGAGCCCACGTCCCCCGTCAGCAAGGTGGTTTGTCAGGGGGACGTCCTCCTGGCCTTTGACGGCATCGAGATCGGCACAGACGGTGGGCGGCTGCGGTGTCCTTTTCATGCTAGGGGATGCTGCCTGAGTCTGGGGGGTAACGGACAGTGTGCGGGGCCGTGCCTGCGACTCCCTCCGGTGGTCACGACGCCGGCGCGGGCTACTGATGCCAGCCCTGGTGACACCCTCCCCCCTCTCGGCAGGCACGGTCCCCTTCCGCAGCGGCGAGCGCATCGGCTTCAGCTACCTCATCAGCCAAAAGTACACAGGCGATATGGTGAGCGGCCGTGTTCTGGAGGGGTTTTGCCAGCGGGGAGGACCCTTTAACTGCTGGCTCAGCCTATCTTTGGGAACCGGACACCGTCCCTTTGCAGGGCACGGTCTGCCTCCCGCAGTGCATGCGGCCTCCCTGACCGCATGGGTCTTTATATCCTCGGGATGAGGAGTAGCCTGGCTCTCCGCCACCTTTACCTCCCTCCAGAAACAAGCTTCACGAAGACACTCTGACCCTTCACACCCCACCCTTTTCTCACTTTCCACCCCCAGGCCACGCTGCGCGTGCTGCACGAGGGCGCCGCGCGCCAGGTCACCGTCCCCCTCACCACCCCCTTCAAGCTCATCCCCGTGCACATCCACAACCGCCCGCCCTCCTACTTCATCCTGGGGGGCCTGGTGTTCACCCCCGTCACCGTGCCCCTGCTCCGCTCCGAGTACGGTAAGGAGTTTGACTACGACGCGCCCGTGAAGCTGCTGGACAAGATGATGCACGCCATGGCCGACGCGCCCGGGCAGCAGATCGTGGTGCTGGCCCAGGTGCTGGCGGCCGACGTGAATGTGGGTTACGAAGACATCGTCAACACCCAGGTGCACGCGGTGAACGGCCAGCGCGTCACCTGCCTGGCCGAGCTGGTGGCCGCCGCGGAGGGCGGCGCGGGCGAGTACATCCGCCTGGACCTGGAGTACAACCAGGTTGTCATTCTGGGGAAGGAGGAAGCCGCGGCCGCCATGCCTGCCATCCTGGAGCAGCACTGCATCGCCGCCGACCGGTCCGAGGATCTGCGCCCAGCGGCGCGGTGACTGGAGCGGCGGGGGGTGGGCGGGGTCCGAGCGGTCGCGGGAGGAGGGCATGCTCTGGAGCGAGGACCGGCCGGTGCGGCCGGACATGTGACCTGGGATGCCTCGCAGCGTCCCAGGGGACTACTCGGCTTGGACCAGGAATTTGACCGAGGGAGGGCGCTGACATCTCCCGACCCCTCCATGACCCACCACCTGGAGAGCGAGACGCCCTCCACCCTTCCGCTTGCTCGTCCTCCCCCCCCTGAACCACCATTCATGTGCTGCAGCACCCCTGTGCACTGCCCTGCTTTACTCATCATCACTGCTGCTGCTGTACTTGTCATGTCACACAGGGTATGTTTTCAGTATCAGGCACCAATGCATGCCAGCATGGTAGGTGACCGCCATCATCACAGACCACAGAGGTCTCCAGCCACCACAATCAGAGGCGCTTGGGGATCTGGATGGCGCCCCCCGAGGCCCCCAGCAGCGCCCGGAACTGGGCCATCTTGGCGTCCTCGGCGGCCTGCGCGGCCACGAGTCGGTGCTGCAGCGCCTCGTGCTTCAACACGGCATTCTGCGCGCGCTTTCCCTGAGACGCCGCGAGCCTGCGCGGTTTCGTGCGAGGGGACCGGACCGGGTGGCCAAGGGCTCGTGTGCTCTGCAAGATTGCGTCCGTCGTGCTTGATTGTTACCCAGAACGAGGCCTGGGAACCTCAGCGATACAGTCCGCTGTCACTCCCAAACCTCGCGCTCAAGTCCCCGTCCAAGCCCCTGGCAGAACCTGCACCGACTCGCCTGGCCTTGGCGGCCTGGAAGGAGTCGCCGCCGCCCAGCACATCTCCCCCGCCCGGCAGCCGGAGGTGCTCGGGGGAGTCCTCCCGCGCCCGCTTCTCCTCCCGTCGGGCCACCCGCGCCTCCACCCGCGCCTCCCGGCCCTCTGCCCTGGGGTGCACCGCGTCGATCCACTCCCGCTCGGCCGCGGCGCTGCGCCGCGCCGCCTCGCGCCGGTCCCCCGCTGCCGCCTCGCGCGCCGAGGCCTCCAGGTTCATGTCGTCGGCGATGGCCGCCGTCAGGCCCACCGACGTGCGATCGGCCGCCGCCGTCCCGGCGCCGGAGAAACCCCAGGTGTAGCCCGTCCGCTGCGTCGCGGCAGCGGCGATGCCGGTGTAGAACTTGGAGGGCAGGGCGCCGGAGTTCCACTCTCGCACAAAGTCCCTGAAGAAGGCATGGGCCGTCTCCGAGTCCAAGTCACTGTGGCGAGATGAGAGAGAGTGGAGGGATAGGGTGCAGATATGGCAGGTGCCGAGGATGCTGACGCCTCCAGATTCACTACCCTATTCTTGGAGGCTGGGGAATCTGATTCATTGCCGTCCTGCGCCACTGCCTGCTCTCAAGCTCATCGACCTGGCGTGCCCCCTGCCACCCAATCAAGCACCTACCTGAAGAACATTTGCTTTGAGTCTCGTAGCCATGTGGAGAGCTCTGCGAGGAGGGCAGAGCCGTGCAGGGGTAGCTAAAACTCCAAGCCGAAGATTGGCTCCAAGATCAAAACATTACCTCATGCACAACATCCAGTTGCTGATGACCTCCGAAAAACTGGAGCAAAACAATACATATGGGAGAGTGCAGGGGACCCCCTTTCACACCTGCATTTCTCTGGAAGTAATCGTCCTCGCTGAGCAGGGGGAAGCTGCCGGTGTAGGGTTTCACCGGCCTGGACGTGCTGGGGTCTGAGACATGCCGGGAGGACGTCGCTGCACCAGAGGCACCCTTGCCACCGTCTTGCTCAAGACCTGGGACTCATGGACAGCGGCTCCATCAGAATGCATGTACTGGCAGGTCACGATACCTCGACATGCATGCCACTACAAGATGACAAGATACGCATAACAACACCGCTGACTCACGCTTCTTAAGGAAGGCTTTGGCCTCCTTTAACAACCGTTCCTCAGAAGTGTCCCTACTCTTGTGCTTGTGCTGTGGGTGGATAGTTGATGAACTGCCGTATTGGCCATTTTGTCAGGACTGGAATGTGCCACAGCCTATAATGTGACTGTCAAGCACTTCCCACTCCTCCGCTTACCTTGCTATGTTTTTTGTGCTTCTTGTGGTCCTTCTTGTCTGCATGGTGAGAGGTGTGAAGATTTGGGGCCGATCACCACCACAAAGGAGATCCTGGATCACACTTGTTCCGGCATGTACCTGCAGCTCTACTCGGAGATGGTGACCGTGACCGATCCTCGCGGCTGTTTTTGCCCATCGCTGTGACAAGTCGACGATACTGTGGGGTTTTGAGGAGTGTTGACGTTGAGACACTACGAAAAGGACCTGGCAGGTGCTCCGATGGGAGTTCGATCGGACCTACTGGTCGCGCCTCAACCCGCAGCGGCGCAGGGCGCCAAGAGCACGGCGATGCCTCGGTGCACGAGGAAGATGAGGATGCATGCGCGGTGTACGCATGGTAAACCAGCTTCCATACTTAAAGATTGGTGTTAAGTAGTATCCCAAGCGCATTGGCGTCCTGGGCCACCCTCGACACTCACCGCCATGTATCGTGACGGGGAGGAGACCTCCTCCAGCTCAGAGTCGGACTACAGCGACACGGAGGTGAGCTCGCATCGACGTGTTGCAACTGTTATTCGCACATCCTGGCAGTACCCTTGGCCCTGGTGACGAGCGGGCCGCTGCGGTGCTCGCCCGGTGTGCACTGTCTTGCAGAATGGGCGTGGCGCCTCCCGAATTGGACCCTCTCAGTGCCAGCGGCCTGCCCATCCCGGTGCCGACCCCCACTGCACAGGTCGGGCCAGCGGAGGCTGCCGAGGCCACGGGGCGGGAGGTTATTTACAATGCAGATGTGCTGCACGAGAAGCTGGAGGACTTTGGGTGGAGCGAGCAGGAGCGGTGGGAGGAGACGCTGGTGATCACGGGCGAGGCCCCCACCACCATCGCCAACGTGGAGGACGACCTCGAGCGGGAGCTGGCCTTCTACAACCAGGCCGCGGCGGCCACGCAGGCCGCCATCGCGCGCATGGAGGCGGCGGGCCAGGCCTGGGCCCGGCCGCCGGACTACCTGGCGGAGATGGTCAAGTCGGACGAGCACATGGCCAAGATCAAGGAGCAGATGCTGCACCAGTCCAAGCTGGTGACCGAAATGGAGCAGCGGAAGAAGGACCGCGAGTCCAAGCGCTTTGCCAAGCAGGTGCAGGCGGAGAAGAAGAAGGAGCGGGCGCAGGAGAAGAAGGCCTCCATCTCAGACGTGTCCAAGCTGCGCAAGCAGCGCAAGCAGTCGGTGCGTGGGCATGTTCTGTTTGGGGGATGGTGTCCTTTCTGCATGTCTTGTGGGGAGAAGGGGATGGTTTAGGGTTGGCGGCGGGGGAACAGAGGACACACGAGGAGAAGGGGGCAGCCGGCGGGGCTGGAGCTGGTATGGTGACGGGGGTGCTGGTGGATGCTAGCAGGAGCGTTGGGCCTGCTAGGGGCGCAGCCAACATCAATCAACCCCGCTGCCAGCGGTTGAACTTGGACCAGCTCCCCACAGCCCGCTGGCTGTGCGCACACTTGACCCGGTCATATCCATCACACGCTGCAGGGCTTCGAGGGTGAGCTGGACGTAGATGCTGCCCTGGACGACATGAGCCAGCGCAGGGCGTCGGCCAAGAACCCCGGGGAGCGGTTCAAGCCACGCGACATCACCAAGAAGCGGGCGCGCAAGGACTCCAAGTTTGGTGAGCAGGGGGGTGGAGAGAAGGCCCAGGTTCTGCTCTGGATTGAGTCGGTCAATGACGATCTGATATTCTCGTACCACTCCTATCCCAAACCACCTCTCCCACAGGATTTGGAGGCAAGAAGAGGCTGCTGAAGCAGAACGACGCCGTCTCTTCTGCCGACGTGGACGGCTACCGCCCCTCACGCCGCCCCGACAGCCCCGGCGGGCGGCGGGGCGGGCGCGGCGGCGGGCGCGGCGGCGGGCGCGGCGGCGGCAGGGGCGAGGGTGGCGTGGGGAGGAGCCGAGTGTCGGCTAAGAAGGGCGGTGCCGGCCCCAGCCAGAACAGGCCCGGGAAAGCGCGGCGCGCAGCCATGAAGCGCTGATGCACCGCTGCTGCGTTCATGACAGGTGCCCCTTCCCCCGTCCCGTTCGCGACATGTAAAGACTACGACGCTGGCAGTGGGGGTTGTGATGTGGGCGGACAGAACCGTGTGCACAGACTGTGGGTTTCAATGGGCAAGCCAGCTCGATGCCAGAATGAGACACTCCCCGCCACCAGGAGCCTGTACTGTGCGGGCAATCCTTGGCGTGCAGGGCGTCCAGGCGGCTGCCGAGCAGAAGCACGGGTGACAAAAGTCCTCCCGGTGAACGCTCCCCTGCCGCGCCTCATCCCTCCTGCTCTCGGCCCGCCTGCCCGACAAAGGCCTGCTCCGCGAGGTCGATGGCCCGCCCCAGCCCCGCCGCCTTGTTCACGGTCTCCTCCCACTCCTTCTCCGGGTCAGAGTCTGCCACAAAACCAGCCCCGGACTGCAGCAATGGGGCCATGAGTAGGGCAGGGGGGGCCTTAATGGGCTGGAGCATGGTGCAGCCGGGTCGCACCGCAGCGACATGGACTCACCGCCCCCGCCCCGGCCCTGCACCCCCCGCCCCCTGCCCCTCCTCCCATGCAGCTTCCCTCCCAGAAACACACCCTGCAGTCTCCCTCCCAGATACACACCTTGCATCCTCCCTCCCAGATACACACCCTCACCTGCATGTGCACCGTCCACTCCCGGCGCGGCGGCGCCCCGGCGCTGTCGCGCCCATACTGGTACAGCGAGGTCTGGCTGGAGGTGGGGATGACCATGGTTCGCAGGGCGAGCGCCATGTCCAGCCCGCCGGCGAAGGAGACGTGGCCCAGGCCGCCGCCGTAGGGCCCGCGCCGCGTCACCTCCAGCTCATCTATGATCTGCATGGCCCGCACCTGCTTTTATAGCTTTGGGGGGGGGGGGGGGCGCAGATGTAATATCAAACTGAAACGGGGAGCCGCTGAAGGGCCTCTGGAGGTGGACGTCCGGGCAGTCCTGGGCGCTGACCTCGTGCTCGGCAGTCCCTTCACTATCCTTCTTTACCCCTCGCACCCCCCCCTCACACACCATTTCCCTCCTTCCGCACCCTGGTCTCCACTCTCCATGCCTCCAAAAGGAAACCCACTCTCCCTCATCACCCCACCTCCCCCTAGTAAGCAACAAGCTAACCGACCTTGGGGGCGCCGGAGATGGTGCCCACGGGCAGGGCGGCACGCAGCGCGTCCCAGGCGTTCAGCCCCGGGCGCAGGCGCCCCGTCACCGTGGAGGAGATGTGCATGACGTGGGAGTAGCGCTCCACCTCCATCAGCGCCTCGACCTTCACGCTGCCGTGCCGGGCCACGCGACCAACGTCGTTCCTTCCCAGGTCCACCAGCATGATGTGCTCCGCCAGCTCCTTCTCGTCGGCCAGCAGGTCTGCCTCCAGCGCCTCGTCAGCCTCCTGGGTGGCGCCGCGCGGGCGTGTGCCCGCCAGCGGGCTGGCGACCGAGGGGGGGGCCGTGTCCGACGTGAGTGGGAGGGAGTCCTCGATCGTGGGGGCCGACCTCCAGGCATGCATCGGCTTTGCCATCGCAGGGAAAGCACCGTGCCAGGAGGACAATCACACATGGATGGACAAGACCCAACAACACGACAACCACCAGCGAACCCCTGCTGAACGCACCGGTTGGTGACAGTGCCGTCCAGGCCCACCCGGCACAGGATCTCCGGGGAGGAGGCCACCAGAATGCAGCCCCGCGCCTGGAGGTAGGTCATGTACGGCGAGGGGTTCACCACCCGCAGGCTCCTGTTGGGTTGGGGCAGTTGTGGTTTGGAGGGGGGGCTGCGGACAGGGTGGGCAGGGGGGATGGGGCAATCCGCGCCCGTGAGCATAGGGGTTTTGGTCCTGCTGACGCCAACAACACACCCCTGTGCCCTTCCAGCTTTACTTTACTGATTGCAAGCCCCGCGGGCATCCCTGCGACCACCCCAGCTGGCCGCACACCCTTCCCTTCCCACCCTCTCCCCCCTCCATCCACCCATCCAACCTTCCCCCCACTACCCCCTTGCCTGTAGATCTCAAAGGGGTCGGCAAAGGTGCGTCGCTCGAAGCGCTGGCTGCCCACCAGCTGGAACACGTCCCCCGCCTGGATGTGCTCCTTGGTGCGCTCCACCGCGGCCATGAACTGGGCCTTGGTCATGTTGGAGGTGGCGGCGGAGAGTGCAGGGCGCTGGCCCAGCGACATGTTCACGCGCGCGCCCAGCATCGCCGGCGCGTTCTCCGAGCGGATGGCGGCGGCGGTGGCGGCCAGCCGCTCGCGCCCTGCCAGGAAGGCGGCCTCGGGCGAGGCGTGCGCGCCCAAGTGCACCCAGGCGATGACGTAGGCCAGCTTGGTGGCGTGGTCGAACACGATGACGTCGTTGTACAGCGCCAGGTGCAGGTCGGGCAGGCCGCGGTCGTCTGGCGGCGCGGCGGAGAAGGGCAGCTTGGCCGGGTAGACGTAGCGCACCGTGTCGTAGCCGGCGTACCCCACCCATCCGCCCGTGAAGACGGGGGGCAGGCCCTCGGGGATGACGGGGGACCAAGGCGCTGACATGTCCTGCGCCACCTG